CCTGCGAGACTCGGTGGTGTCACATTCTGACGTGGTGTCAAAGAGACACTGACCCTACGGTCACAGAAGCAAAGAGAAAAGAACTGAGCTTGATTCTTGACTGCTGCACTAGGTGGAACAGTCTCCTCAGCATGCTGGAATGTTTCTACAGTGTAAGAGTTTGCATCGATGAAGCCTTAATAGACACTGGCTAAGACACTAAATTCTCTTCTGACAAGTGGTCACTAATCAATGAGTTGATCACCAGTCTTCAACCGGTTAAACTGGCTGTAGAAGCTCTCTGAAGAAGAGAGTCAAGTTTGATAATGCTGATACAACCCTGAAATTTGTCTTAGACAAAGTAAAAAGCCAGGACATGATCTTGAGTACCGACCTTTCTGAGGCACTCCGCAAAAGAATCAGAGAATGGCGTCTTACCAAGGTCACAGGGATGCTAATTTACATACAAAACCCGAAGAAGTATGACCAAAAAGTTAGAAAGCCCAATTATTCTTTCACAATGCTGAAAAAAAATGTAATGTGCCAGGAGATGAAAAATATGCTGAATTGTGTAAATACATATATAGTGGAACCAGCAGCAATGGCAGAGGAGATTATGGAGGTGAAAAATGATGATCTAGATAACCCGTATTCCCTGAATTTCACCTTGAAACAAGAATTGGAGATCCAACTAAAGCGTGAGAAACAAAACTTCATGAAACGGAAAGAAATTGGTACTGAGAAGGATTATGATAAGTTATTAAAAAAGGAAATGGCTGTTTATGAAAGTAAGGGAGTAAGAGGTGAAAACTTATCTTTGATTTATAATTATTTGATGACCCTGAAACCAACTAGCGTAGAGGCTGAAAGGGCTTTCTCTGCAGCGGGATATATATGCAGTTCATTAAGAAGTAGGTTGGGAGACAACACCATCAATACTATTTGTTTTTTGAGATCCTACTTCCAGAAAAGTCAAAAAAATAACATAACATGTTAAATGACAAAGAAATATTTGATGACAAAAACATATTTGATGATAAAAAAATAATATGAAATTAAAAAAATAACATGAAAAAATAACTGATTGATTTAATTTTATTTAATCCTTTAAAATACTTTATTCAAGACAAGACTAATATTTTATAACTTCTACTCTAATTCTATTAAGTAAGAGTTTTTAACTTTTATTCTATAAGTGGTTTTTTCTATTTCTATAAGTGGGCTAGGCTAGGCAATTTTATTGTTAAAATTAGTGAGAAACTGAGACTATCTAGTTAGTTAAATAGTTAATTAAAGTAATGAGTATCAGTATCTTAGATATATGATGATATGAATGTATATGATTTGTGATTGTGATAGTAATAACTAACTACTAGACTACTACTACTTACTTACTACTTTACTAACACTAATAATTAAATTACTTATAAATAACTACAGACTGATATGTAGAGCCTATATAAGAAAACTGGTAAGACTGATAGCCACTTAGCCACTGATTATCCATCCTTACATTTTTATAATATAATATATTAATGTAAATTAATTAGTAGAATTACCTTTGCTATTATTTAACTTATTTCATTATAATTATAATCTAACTAAACATTTAAAGTTAATTATCTCTATCTCAAGTGTTAAACCAAACCAAAGTTAAGTTTACTACCTAAATGTGTAAGAAGTTTTACTGATTTATAGTGACCAGTCTAAATAATAAAAAATTCTTAAGTATTAAAAAAATGTTTAATTTCTTTTAAAAAAAACTATAAAATGCTAAATAGACAGATAGATAACACTTTATTGCATCAAACATACATCTGCACTGGATCCATGCTGGATTCAGTTGGAATGATGTTGGTCCAGCAAAAATCCAGCTGGATTGAAAACACTGCTGGATTGCAATCCCTAGTTCTGTCATGTCAAAATTTTTGTTTTAGTCTATTGACTAAAATCAAAGTGAAAAAAGTCATCCCAAAAAATTCCCCAAAATTTCTATCAATCTTTAAAAAATTCCAACCTGGAAATGCATTGTACAAAACTGCTTTCAGTTCTCGATGTCATTTCCTACATTTCTTCCTGTACAGTGGTACCTCAGGATACGAAATTAATCTGTTCCGAAACTGAGATCGTATCATGAAAATGTCGTAAGGTGGATCATCTTTTCCCATACGATTACATATAAAACCAAATAATTCGTTCCAACACGAAAAACATACTCAAATTAAAGCCAAGTAATACATTTAAAAAAATAACTGTAGTAAGAAAAACAAATGAAAAATGCGAACTAATGTAACGTTGTATGGTGAGTTTTTGTTCGTATCGTGGAGCAAAAATATGTTCGAATTTCATGTCGTATCCTGAAAATTTCGTATGCTGGGGCGTTCGTAACCTGAAGTACCACTGTACTTGCCATGTGACATCATGAAATCTCTAGATGTTTGGTGCATAGGAGTCACATTGTAACAAAGCTCAACATTTTGCTGTTTTTCCCAGCATGATTTGTGATTCAATTTCAAGCTGAATGTTAAAACGAACTAGGATTTTATTACCACTTGATATCGCCAGTATTATATTTTTATCGACACTTTAATAAAAATATCGCCAAGTGGTGGTTTTGGCACTATGCAGCGCAACCCCTGTAATAATGATAATAATAAGCACAAAGCTCAAACAGTTAGAAGTTGAAAGTTGACATTTGGTAGACAGGGTACACATCATGAGAATGCACACTAAAAAAGGATTTTTTGAAATTTTTCCCTCTACAGGGGAGAGGGAGCAGATTAATTTTGTCCAGGAATTTTGTAGAAATTGTAAAATTACAATGAAACAAAGTTCTTGCAAATTTACACTATTTTATCAGCGAAAGATCTCACACTCACTGAAACTCATCTGCAATTCTGCCAAGTTAGTCTGTTTACACCAACGTGTGGCGAGCAACCCGTTGATATTTTTTTTATTGCCTGTATGATCGTACACGTCTCAAATAGAGTTAAGTTATCTGTACGCGTTCTTTCTTACTTTAGGTTACTTACATTACTCCTACGCAAGTTTCTAGTTCCTAACTGTAACTGATTTAGAACAGGATGCACATTATTCTTCACATTATAAAATGACATTGCGCATGCGTCAGGAACTTCTGTTCGAACAAACCTCACATGCCATCCGGGTCAGCAATTTTAAAAAAGTGGCAACACTACCATGAAGAATTCAGCTTCTACAGTACTATTTTAGATACAAATTTTTGCAGGAAACTGAACTTATTGTTAGACTCGTCTAAAAATTCTCTAATTACAGTAGAATCCCTCTAATCCATCACCTTTGGGACTGGGGGTATGGTCGGAACGCAAAAAAGGTTGGATTATCAGAAAAAAGTAAAATAAACTATCTTCCCCTTTGTCCAGTCTTTGTAGCACTGCTAATTTTTCATTTAATGAAAGAGTAACGTGTTTACATTTCACTCCTGACATGTTGAAAACACATACAAAACTGTACATGTACACACAATGTAAAACGTATACTGTAATGAACATAGAAAAACGCCATGGATGGTGAGTCACCGACGAGTCGGGACAAGTTTCTTGACTCCGACCACAGTCAGATTAACCGGAGTGACGGACTAGCCGAGGGCAGACTAGAGGGGTTCTACTGTAGCTTCGGAAGAGGGGAACGTAATTCTTGCACCTGGTGAAAACAGGTATAATAAGCTATGTAAGATAACTTTATAGTTATATAAACCAAATTCTATAATAAAATACAATAGAAGGGTTAGAAGTACAAAATTAAATAATCTTAATGTTTGTTCTTATTTTTTGCCCAGGTAATGCCAAGCTTACCTGCTAGTTGAAATATAAATTTTTAAGTTTTTGCAGTTACAGCAACATATCTAATTTTGTCATTCTTTGAATTTGAACATACAATGTCTTGAAAAATTGGTATATTTAACTTGTGATGGAAAATATTAGCCACCAACAACAACATTAAGAAGTGAATTTTACAATGCCATATTCAAGATTTTTGAGTTCTGATTCCCCTACATTAAAGAAAAATTACTTCTAATGTTTTGCATAATTTAAAATTAACTAAAATACACTGCAAATACAATATTAAGATTTATCAAATAACAAGAAAGAATAATTTATTTTCTTTTTAAGTTTTTGTAAAAAAAAATTATTAATTCTACCAAATGACAATGACAAAAAACTAAAATATGATTAATGAACTGTTCTAAGAAATTTGAATTCTAATGTGGTCATTTAGCATTGTTCAGAAATTTAAATGTCTATATATATAATGTATATAGTATAATATATAAAAATTTAAAAGTGGATACATTTATATACATTTCATACAAATGCATCTGCATGGCAAGCATCCGCTGTTGCAGGTTCAAGTCCCACAGTCCCACTCTGGGCTGATTCTCTTCTTCCAGAATTTTCTAATTTATTTAACAAATATTAATTTGATTATAATTATTAAATTTAATAAGAGATAGCACCTAATGCCTAACTCTAATGCCAAATTACTTGGCATTTAATTTAAATATCAATTATATTTAATTTGATTTCTATGAAAGTTGTTTGTGAAGATCAGTTGAATGAACTTGAAAAACATTTATGTGCCATAAATAAAGTTGACCACTATCATAATAGCTTTTGAGATGTGATAACAAAACATGAGTACTTGAAGATGATGTAAAAAAGCATATTCTGCCAATCAAAAGAATTTATGTTGAGCTGGTGATGTACAGACAAGATATATTATTAGAATTTTTATTTTATACATTATGTTGATCCCAAAAAATAAGGTTTGGCTCTTAATTTTGTAACAAGCAAGTCAATTTGACTCTCAGATTTTATCACTAATAGTGATTTATGTCACAGTCTCCTTTCATCTGCACTATTTCATTTTTCTGCAAGTCTGCTTCTAATCTGAGTAGAAATAGACTTACCACACTTTGTACAAATGAGTGAAAGTTAGTTGGTCAAACTAGCCAGTTAGAAAAACTATTAACTTCATTCATACAAAGTTTAGAAATCACATTTAATCATCGTTACAAATTACACAATACAATTATGATTAAAGAATGTATAGTTATTAATACTATAGAATTTCATTAAAGTTTAACTAAATCATAAATAAGTTTGTTCCTTTTCACTGTAGCATCATCTGATATTTCATTATTATTCTGAAGAATCAATACAGGGTTATCAATATTATCCACATACCATTCATTTAAAAATGCATCACCATTTTTTTCACAAATATTATGTAAAATGCAACAAGCAACAATTATTTTATTTACATCTTCTAATTTTATATCACATCTTCTCATTAAAATTTTCCATCTTCCTTTTAATCTAGCAAATGTCTCCTTTATTGCAGTCAAAACATTAGAAATAGAATTATTAAAATTTTCTTCTTCTTTGCTTAAATTAGAATGCAAAATAGGTCTCATTAACCACAGATTAAAGGGAAAAGAAGCATTAGCAACAATATGTAAGTCTCTCTCTTTGGGAAACAAAACCTGCTGTTTTGCAAATTTACTCAATAAAGTATTTTCAAATATTTCAGCATTAGACATCTTACCAGGAGAACCAACATTAATATATCTAAAATTGTATTTATGATCACACAAACCCAAAAGAACTATTGAAAAACCTTTCTGATCATTTCTATAATCATCTGGATAACCTCTTTTTGGAGCCATTATTGGAATATGGATTCCATCAAGACAACCAAATACATCTGGAAAATTCCACTGATTAAAAAATCCATTCACAACTTCATCCAAATCACTTGATGTGGAGGGCAATTTTATGATCTGCTGATACAAAACTTGGCATAAAACATCACAAAATTCCTTCAAAATTTTTCCCACGGTACTTTTACCAATTCCATATAAATTTGCAATTGTAGTGTAATCAGAAGCATTACTCAACACATGAATAGCAATACCAACACGTTTTTCTACTGGTATAGCACATCTCATATTAGTATCCTTTTTCATTAAATAAGGGGAACAGTACTTTAATATATCCTGAAAAGTATATTTTGAGACATGAAACTTTATATGAAAATATGTATCAGTATATTTAGGAATAGTTATTTCCCAATGTACACTAGATGTCTGTCTTTTCCAACATCGTTTTTTTGGACTTTTTTGTTTTTTTATTGTAATGCTTTTTTCAGAGAGACATTTTAATAGTTTAATAGTTGTCAATGGTTGATAAATCTGTCTTCTAGGAATTTGCATCATTATATGCCTGACAGTATATATGACTCCAATAATACTTGTGAGTAGATTCAATTTTAAGAAGTTATCATCAAAATGAGATGAGTCCATTTGACTTTGATTGGGTGAAGTCACTGTCAAGAAGGAAATACTACTTTAATAGTGATTTAATTGTAGCAAAGGAAAATTTTAAAAAAATTTTTTAATAGCTTTTATAGTTTACATTTTATTTAAGACACTACTTTAAAAGAAAAGGAAAAAAAATAAAAATTTCAAGCAATTCATACAACTAAACATAATATTCTGTAATGTATGAAATGCAATTAATTAATGTAACTAGTAGAATTCTTATAGATATTATTATTATTATTATATTATTACTGTTAATATATTTCTTTATCTTTATGAAGATATATCTACTGCATTTACTTTGAATTCATTATACCTATGATTAAAGATTTATTGTCTGCTGTCCATTTCATAATCAACAATTATAGTCAAGAGTTAAAAGTTAACCAATAAGTTTTCACGTACAGTATTTAAAATACAGTAGACACCCCTATAACATGGGTTCATATAACACGGATTTGTATAACACGGCAAAAAAATTGTGATTGTGTTCGTAAAACACTCTACAAGAGACTCGTATAACAAGGTAAAATGTCATCGCCGACTCATGTCACGACAGGATTGGTTGAATCTGGACCAATAGCAAATATTGCACAAACTGTTGAGTTTAAACGAGCAGCAGACCTACTAAAAACCATTTATTATTTAACGGCCATAAAAATTATGTTTATATTAATGATGTCTCCAAAGTTCAGCAAATTTTTCGCAAAAAAAATAACTTATCAGGAAACATGCGCCCGCCATTCAATGAGCCGCTCTGCAACGAAAACAAGCTTAAGCAATGGCGTCATCAAACGGTGCACACTCTAAGTAATCCTACAATTTTTTGTTTATAGCATAGTTTATATGGATTATTCCCAAAAAATTATACGTATTTTCGAAATGTTGAGTCAAATTAGTCTCGAATTGGTTAATTTTATGGAAGAAAACCTTTCAAACAGCCAAAGCCCCTAAACTGCACACGTGCTGGGCTGTGATTGGCTCATGTATTTAAGTGACTTGTATAACACATAATACAACATGGGGTCTACTGTATAAGGAATACTAATTTCTAATTATGACACTTGATCATGAATTGTAAATTTGAATTACTATTTGTGAAAAAGACACCCATTGAAAGAAACATATTTTTAAATCTAACTTGGTAAATGTTTCAACTTTAGGTTGTCTTGAGTCATGTGGAATTCAAAGTAGTCTAAAGGTTTAACACTATATTATTTACTAATTTTCTATTTGATTTAAAATAACAAAAGTAAAATCTAAAAATATTAGCCCATAACAACTGGACACACATCATAAAGCAGAATCTCATTTTAATGAGAATCTCATTTTAATGAATTATGGAACAATGGATTTTTCTCTATAGTCTATTTATCATAACTTGGCACCTACTGTAAACAAACTAAGACACACCTCCTTTGTTTATTGGTTTAAACCCATGTCCATCAATTAGAAACTGTGTTGCATCTCATTCGTCTGCAGAAAATAGTTCTTCATTATTTATAAAATCAATAATGAAATACTAGTCACTTAGCAATGATTATAAATGTAATTACAGTAGAACCTCAAAAACTCGGCCTAATGTGGACAGAAGGGTGGCCGAGTTTGTGAAAATGCCGGGTTATCGGGAATGGGGTTAAAAAAAATAAGTACGAGTGTTTCCTCAGAAAATACTGTACTGTACTTGTATGTATTGTTTACTTGAGAATATAACAGAGAATAAACTGCCCAAATACCCTTAAACAAAGAAAAAGTACGTCCTTTATGAAGGCATAGAGCCTTTACTACGTGAAAATGAAAATTAATAAATACACTGTGTATAGTAATTTACCTGATAAGACAGACCTCAGAAAAATACTTTATGAGATCTTTTATACTTTTATAAAGCTGTCTATAATGAAAATTAATTAACTAAGGATTTTTTTGCCCTGCCAGGGTGTGGCCGAGTTATCCGGAGTGCCGGGTTATTGAGAGCCGAGTTTTCGAGGTTCTACTGTATTTCATATTTGTTAAATTGTTATTTTAATGAATACTTGCACACTCTGAATCACTAAAAATAATCTTTTTCTGGTCATGCACACTATAATGTCTATAATGTCTTGGTTTCGTTTTCCATTCATTACCATAACTATCATTATTTCAAAATGTATCGGCCATATAGAAAAAGAACAACAACGAATGTGGGAACTTGATGATATTTCAGAAACTGTGGTAGAAAAACTGATTATTCAGCCAAACACAAGTAGTGACAAAAGTGATATAAATGATTACTTTGAGCAACTATCTTCTGATACAGATGATTAATAAGGTAAGTTTACACTATAATTATTTTAAAAAATTTTTAATTATATAAATATCACAAAGATAAATTCATACATTACAGTAACGTTTNTAAGAGCAGGAAATGGCTACGAGAAAATATCATAACTCTTCTAAAGGCTGGCAAAAATAAGGCTATAGTGTTGATGAAGAGGGACTCTTACGTAAATCTTAATAATATATATTTAATAATAATTTTTGACAAACTATTTAAATGATGGAAATAATTTAAACAGCTATGTAAAAATATTAAAGTAGACTATAATAACTTTTCTAAGTATTATCTCAGTAATTTTTAAATTGTTGTGACCACTCTGATCTACTTTAACACGTGCAGAGAAAAGGGCTTAACGGTCAAAGTGGCTAGACACATGATGACCCTGGTCAACATGTGTCTAGCCACTTCTGATTGTGATTTGACCAATGAAAATCTATGGTGGATTAATACAACAAAATTTTTGTTTACAGTTACAATAAATAGACTATAAATCCTGCCAAATCAATGAATTTTACCTCTTTTTAGCAGATTGAAATAACAGATTTTTTTCTAGCTCCATCTTCAGCATTGTATTTTTTTCAACCTTTAATTAATAACTGAATGTTACTGGATACTGAATTTTAAAAAATGCATTGCACGCTCTGCAAACTAAGCACATAACCATCATGGTTCTCACTGCTAACAAAATCCATCTTATAAACAAAGCATTGACAAATATATAAACCACACTAACCTTATGAAATACAGGGTGCTTCAAAAAAATGTATACACACTTTGAACTATTGTAGTTTTCCCGCTCTACAAGGCTAATGTTATATTTCTTCGCCAGGTGGCAGCATAATCGTCCCTCTATGTTATATTATCAGTTGGAATTTGTAATATCAACATGGGGGACGTACGTTTGAGTTTTGAAGAACGTAAGCAGGTTATTAAGTGGTACTGGAAGTTTGAAAATGTAAATGAAGTTCAAAGACAGTGGAGAAGGGAGTATGATACAGAACCACCTTCAAGATTAACAATTACACGCATACGAGACAAATTCGAAGTTCATGGAACAGTGTGTGATGTGCATAAAGGTCATTCAGGTCGGCCTCGAACAGCTACAAGTGATGAGTCATCAACGGCAGTCTTGGAACTGTTTCAACGCTCTCCTAACAAATCTTCAAGGCAAGGGGCATGTGAAAGTGATGTAAGTGCTAGCAGCGTGCTACGCATTCTGAAGAGAGGCAAGTATCGTGTTTACATTCCAAGGCTGGTGCAACAGCTAAATGACGACGATCCAGATCGAAGGTTGCAATTTTGTGAATGGATTCAGGAGATGGTGATACGTAAACCGGGATTTATGGGTAGCATCATTTGGTCGGATGAAGCCCAATTCAAACTTAATGGAACTGTCAATAGGCACAATTGTGTTTACTGGTGTGAAGAAAATCCTCACATTACAATTGAAAAAGCTGTAAATTTGCCTGGTGTAAATGTGTGGTGCGGTTTGTCTTCAAGGGGACTCATTGGACCTTTTCGATTTGAAGGCACTGTAACTGGTATTAATTACCTAACAATGCTTGCTGATTCCATATTTCCTGCCATTCGTGCATTATACGATAATGATGATTTTTATTTTCAACAAGATGGTGCTCCGCCGCACTATCACAGGGACGTACGAGCTTACCTGGATCAAAATTTGCCGGGCCAGTGGATAGGACGCAGGGGGCCAATCGAGTTTCCACCACGCTCTCCAGACCTTACACCACTGGATTTCTTCTTGTGGGGCACAGTAAAAGATGAGGTGTACAAACGTAAACCACGTAACCTAGACATTCTTTGGAATGAGATTCAAGCAGTGTGTAGAGAAATCTCATTGGACGTTTTGATACGATGTACAGAATCTGTGGTGACTCGTACTCAGAATTGTATTGATGCTGCAGGTCACCAATTTGAACAGTATTAACATTTGTTATTTATGTTTCATTTACATTGGACTTTCAGCTTTCTATTTTCCTGAAATTTAACTTTGTAGAACGGTAAATAAATTTTCTATGGAAGTTCAAAGTGTGTATACATTTTTTTGAAGCACCCTGTATATA